TTAAAAAAAAAACTATGAACAAATTCCTATGCACACTGCACATATCTTATTTTGAAGTAAAAAAGCAAAACAGGAACAAATACAATATTTGTATTTGCATGTGGCCCGCGGGCCGTAGTTTGAGGACCCCTGCTGTACACAGTAAGTTGTGTAAGTGTTGGCCATTATTATCCAGGGTCTACCAGGTCAGCTGCATCATCATTTACTTCCTTTCAAGCCTCACACCAACCTTCCAGATGGGTAGAGTTAGCCCCATTTTACAGATAGAAACCGGGGCTCATGAGGATTAAGTACCTTATTTAAAAGCAACATAACCAGGAGATGACAAGACGAGCCCTTGAACCCAAGGAGTCATCATAACCATTATTAACATAATAACGGCCATTTACTGAAAGCCGGTTGGTGTGCTAAACACTTTACACCGATTATTACATTAAATACTCAAAACTGCTCTAAGGAAAGAATTAGTGTAACTATTTTACAAAGGAGGACGTGGGGTTGGAACAGTGAAATATGTTGGCTGAGGTCACACCGTGATTTAGGGAATAAAGCAGGGGCTTGGTCCTAGTTCTGACACCGAAACCCATCGTTTCTTCCACGAAAGGCCTGCCTGTCTGGTATTTTGTTATAGATCTTTTATCTCCACTTGAAATCATCAATGTGCCTGAGTTCACATGACATGTAAGACCCTGGCCTTGTTCAATAAAGTCCAGGAACGGCCCTCTCCATCTGGGGACCCATCTATTGTCCTAGATTGTAAGGAGTCAAGCTCTCCCCCTATAAAAGCCTAGTTTTCTATCCATTTCCTTCTAGAAACTTTGGGTTGAGGATCTGAGATAGCAATTGGGAAGTGGGCTAAAACAAATCACAGGAAGTTCTGAGTCACTAGACTTTTATCTTTTGGGAATTAGAACAACCCAAATATTTTCTCAAGTAAATCATCATCTGCTCACAGATCTTCTTCTTCCATGGAAGGATTTCCCTCAGCAATATGTGACTGCCCTACCCAGTTACACGTGGCTCTGAAAACACCTACCAGTCACTACATCTTTACCGCCCCAACCTCTATGGTGGTGCGAACACATGGACGGGCCAGGGATATCCGCATCCCGAAACAAAGGTATCACAGTGGCGACTTCATGTTTTATCAAAACATGAACCAACCAAAACCTGGTGCTATCCAGGTGCTCCCTTTGCAATTATGTGGGCCTTCATGCTGACCTACTTATTAGCTCTTTAAACTACAGTTTTCTATAACTTACTAGAAGCCCGGTGCACGAATTCGTGCACCAGTGTGGTCCTTCAGCCTGGCCTACAGGATGGGGCCAAAACCGGCTCTCTGACATCCCCCCAGGGGTCCTAGATTGCGAGAGGGTGCAGACCAGGCCAAGGGACCCCACCGGTGCACGATTGGGGCCGGGGAGGGACATGGGAGGTTGGCCAGCCGGGGAGGGATCACAGGAGGGCTCCAGGGCATGCCCGGCCCATCTAGCTCAGTTCCGATTGGCTGTACCCCAGCCGCAAGCTAATCTACCGGTTGGAGTGTCTGCCCCCTGGTGGTCAGTGCATGTCACAGCAACTGGTCAACCGGTCAACTGTCTTCCCCCTAGTGGTCAGTGCAAGTCATAGCGAGTGGTTGAGCGCCTTAGCACATCATTAGCATATTATGCTTTGATTGGCTGAACAGCCGACCAGTTGACCAGAGACTTAGCATATTAGGCTTTTATTATATAGGATAGGAACATTACTATT